TCAGGTTAATGTCTTTATAATTACGCATCCCCTTTGTCGAGCAGACCGACAAGGTTGGGCCGATTTTTTGCACGAGGGCGTAATGTGTGGTTTCAGAGCATGCGCGCGCAGCTTCTTCGCTTCGGCATTTTTCCGACTATTTCGCGCTCTTCCAAAATGGCCGTCGAATTTCCGGCGGCGAGTTTCACCTCTCGACTTTTAAATCAATCTGGTGAGTTTCGAGTTTCTACGCTTTTCTACGGTAAGCTTCTTGGTTTACGTAATATACGTGAAAAATCTCGGAAAACGCGAAATTACCTAACCTTGATTTCCACTACGACGGAATCCTTCGACTTTTGACTGAATTCCAATTAAAGATGTTCAGTGAACCGTTGATTACCGCAAAGACTCCATGGAGATTCCTGCGGACCTCTCTGGAAATCCCTCCTATCTCTGGGAATCCCTGAATATTTTACATAGAAATTCATATTTCCGCCCGTAGGCAAATCCGAGAAGTTTCCAAGTTAACCGGTTCAGCTTTCTCTGGCTGGAGATTCAAGGGTCGATACCACAAAGCTCAGATACCGTCGTTATTCCCTTTTCCTTTAACCTCGGGATCCGACGAGTATGCACATAGTTCCACTTTAGCCCGCCCCGAAGGGCGCTACCATCGCCGAGGGATTTCCAAAAGCTGGAATTTCTCATCAGAAGAGCAGCCTTGTGCAGTGACGCGTAATTCCAGGTTTTTTTTTTACGTAAAATCAATGTAAAATACCTAACAAATTACACGACACTCTAACCTCACTTTTTCAAAGTGGTCAAAATATAGGAAGATCTAGGCTTTGACGTTTCAGCTTTCCATACATTTCATGAAAAATTTTCAATTTTAGGGAATAGGAACTACGGAAACATAAAGTCCTGTCATGTCATTTACATCACGTATGAAATTTGTTGAGTAAATACCTAGTAATTTACTGTAAAAATAAACCACGTAAATTACCTATGGTATTTAAGGTTAAGTGAAACACGTCGAGGAACTTGATCAACGTCAATAAAGAAGATTTTTCTAAATGGCTGCGTTGCCGACGTTCGTTTTTATATTGACAGCTGGGTCGAATTATATTGTGTATTGTCCCAAATGGCATACTCCACCTGTCGTTTTCGTACAGTAATTATAAAGAGATCGAAGTAAAACTCCAGAAATCCTCTGGATTCATGCTTTCTGGGGCCCTAATTGACTGCAGAGGGACCCCCTGCGCCATCTGTGATTTCCAGGTCAATTAAATTCTCACTCCAAGACCTCGTATTACCATCGTTTTAGCATAGAAGCGCATACAACACTTTTTTTGCCTTTATCCCGTTGAAATGCGAGTTTATCGATTACCAGAGTGTTCTAAATTGTCGTAAAATTGTCCTGACCCTTTCGATTCTCATATCAGAGCCTTCGATAATTGTATTTGATCGAAATATGAGAGCTCGACGGCATTTTAGTTCTGATTTGGGCTGAGTAAATAAATGTAGTTAAAAAATCCAAATTTTGAATGTGTCAGGACAATTCTTAGATGATCAGGAGTGATGTGCCAAAGTTTCGGACAGTTCGGTCTAATGCCCTTAAAAAAAGGTGTTGTATTCGAATCGACTGATTTGAAGGGGGTTTCACTTCACCTTAACTTAGCGAGCTCTGCTCATTTGTCACCAGAAGACGCGCTCCCTAGCGGAGGAATCGGAAACTCACAATCGAGACCGATCGACGCGTCTCGATTTTATTGCCCCGCGTCCGGCGTGGAGTATAAATTGGTCGTAAGTATCGCGAGGCGGGTACTTAGGGAGTAATGTGGTTTAGCCCGAAGCATTTGGCAGAGTCCGGCCCCCCCGGGAACTGGTTCGCAACGCCTCCGGAACCTGTCCGAGGCGCCGACTCGCCCTTCCAGATCACATCGTCGCGATACGTCTTTCGCGATTCGAGAAGGTGCTCGCCGCTCTAATTATCGCCCGACTACCGCGCGCGATAAGTGGCGCCGCGGCGGCGGCAGGAGGAACTTCTCGCTTTGCCCACCGAGCTGCCAATTTGGCGTACTTTCCTCCAGATCTAGAGTTCGGAAATTCTCGGTAACATAAAACTGCAGAAGGTAACTGTGAAACGTACCATAAGTTATTGAGAATTTATGAGAACGTTGATTTCTTTTTAGTTAACAAACCTGGGAGCTGTAAATTGTGGAGGAAGAATTGTGAGGAAAAAATACCGAAGCTGGACAAAGCCATTGGTTGGGCAAACCTCGGATGCGCTAACGACGTAAACCCCTTAATTCGGGTTGATTTAGACCGGCGAATGTCGTGCAATTAAGGCCGGGAGTGCGGTTTCGAATTAAGTCACAGCGTTCCGCCGTTTAGTGACGGTTGTTGGGCACGCGTAACTATTATTTAAGTGGGATTAAGGGCAATTCTGCTGCGCCATTACGCCCTCAAGCCAGGTTATATCGTGCTAACACTAGGTTAACGCCGACTTATGGCTTTTGGAGCTACTCGATAGATTAAGGTGATATGAAAGGGTTACTCCACATGTATGAAACGTCAAAATATTTATAATACTTTTTCAAAATATAGATTATGAACAAAAAGGTCACGGAGAGGAAACTTGGCACTGAAATCACAGATGGCGTAATTAGGGCGTCAAAAACCACGAATCCAGGGTGTTTCTGGTGCTCTACTTCGATTTCTTTACAATTGTTGCACGAAAACGACATAAGGAGTGTGCTATTTAGTACAATGCCCAATATCATTCGACACGGCTGTCGACATAAATACCAACGTCGGCAACGTAGGTATTTGGAAGAATCTCTTTCACCGACATCGATCAAATTTCTCGACGTGTTTCGCTTCACCTTAACGTGAAGTGAAACATCCTTCAAATCAGTCGATTCGAATACAACACTTTTTTTTAAAGGTATTAGACCAAACTGTCCGAAACTTTGACACATCACTCCTGATCATCTAAGAATTGTCCTGACACATTGAAAATTTGGATTTTTCAAAAGAATTTTTTAACTCAGCCCAGACCAGAAACAAAATGGCGTCGATCTCTCATATTTTGATCAGTATACAATTATTGAAGGCTCTGTAATGAGAATCGAAAGGGTCAGGACAATTTTACGACAATTTAGAACACTCTGGTAATCGATAAACTCGCATTTGAACGGGATAAAGACAAAAAAAGTATTGTATGCGCTTCTTTGCTAAAACGATGGTAATACGAGGTCTCGGAGTGAAAATTTAATTGATCTGGAAATCACAGATGGCGCAGGGGGTCCCTCCACAGTCAATTAGGGCCCCAGAAGGCACGAATCCAGAGGATTTCTGGAGTTTTACTTCGATTTCTTTATAATTATTGTACGAAAACGACAGGTGGAATATGCCATTTGGTACAATACACAATATAATTCGACCCACTTGTCAATATAAAATCGAACGTCGTCAACGTAGGCATTTAGAAAAATCTTCTTTATCGACGTTGATCAAGTTCCTCGACGTGTTTCGCTCACCTTAAGGTTACGGGGACTGCAACGCGAATGAAGATTCCCATCACTTTTAAAGAGATCCTAGAAAGTACTTGCAACTTTTGCGCGACCACGTTTGCGTAGCAACGTCCAAGAACTATATTTCGAGCCCGAAGCTCGAGTTTCGCGTCTGGTGGTGCGCTTTGTACACAGCCTTTGGACGTGGGATGGACATCCGCGAGAGCTTGGCAGGGCTCTGAAAGGTAGCGTGTCATTAGGGCGGTCTAGGTACACATACGTCTAGCTAGAGGTGCATGGGCCTCTTCCATCTCCGGCTTGCGAACTAACGAGCCGCCTCCGAAAGGCCCGCCACTTTGTAAGTTGGTGGCTTTGTGAAATCCAAAGTGCCGTGCCCGACTGCCCAACAACGTCCAAGCCATGAAGTAGTATAAGGAGACATAACGCCAATGATCGATTTCACAGAAAGTAGCCCCAGAATCGAGACCCAGGATCTCAGATTATCGCTGATCCAACGACGCGAGCGCCGCTTGCGGTAAACCAGGGAACTTCAATTCTACGTAATCGAAACATTTCCTATCGACGTTAATTACTCGAAATGCTTTTAATTTAGGCAATTAAGGTACGCAAAGCGAAACGATGTATAGAATGTAATGTTTTTAAGGTGAAGTGAAACACGTCGAGGAACTTGATCAACGTCGATAAAGATTTTTCTAAATGCCTACGTTGCCGACGTTCGTTTTATATCGACAGCTATACCGAATTATATTGGGTATTGTACCAAATGGCATACTCCGCCTGTCGTTTTCGTACAATAATTATAAAGAAATCGAAGTAAAACTCTAGAAATCCTCTGGATTCATGCTTTCTGGGGCCCTAATTGACTGCAGAGGGACCCCCTGCGCCATCTGTGATTTCCAGGTCAATTACATTTTCACTCCGAGACCTCGTATTACCATCGTTTTAGCAAAGAAGCGCATACAACACTTTTTTTGCCTTTATGCCGTTCAAATGCGAGTTTATCAATTATCAGAGTGTTCTAAATTGTCGTAAAATTGTCCTGACCCTTTCGATTCTCATATCAGAGCCTTCGCTAATTGTATATCGATCGAAATATGAGAGCTCGACGCCATTTTGGTTCTGGTCTAGACTGAGTTAAAAAATTTGTTTGAAAAATCCAAATTTTGAATGTGTCAGGACAATTCTTAGATGATCAGGAGTGCTGTGTCAAAGTTTCGGACAGTTTGGTCTAATACCCTTAAAAAAACGTGTTGTATTCGAATCGACTGATTTGAAGGGTGTTTCACTTCACCTTAAGGTACGCAAAGCGAAACGATGTATAGAAGGTAATGTTTTTAATGCGATAGAGAGTAGGAAACACGCTAGCTTCTTAATAACGCTTTTTAATTCAAAATTTTTGTTCAGGAGGCGCTCGCAGCGCTTGATCAGAAAAAATGAAGGAAGGTGCAAGGAGGTAAGGTAGAGGTCTTCGGAAATGGAGGCACTCACCACAAGGAGGACACATCGATTTTCGGTGGTGACTCCACCACATCCCAGGAAGCTGCCAATCACTGCCAACCCGCCAGCAACGATGAGTGCATACGCCAGTATCGGGTAGGTGTATGTCGCCATAAGTGATATGTAATTATGCTTCGCCACTACCGTCCAGATTCCGATGCCGCCCACAACTATGCCGGAGAGCTGGGAACAGATATACAATGTGATAACACACGACACCGACGGTTCATATGTGCCCATAATTATGAAAGTGGTCTAAGTCATATATTTTTTGTTTGGAAATTACATTGAATTAATTTCGTTTGAAATAATATGGCGTGAAATAACTGATAAACTCATTTCTTTTTTAATTTTGACTTAGACCACTTTCATAATTATGGGCACATATGCGTGATATCAATTTTCTGGGTTCACTTTGTCCTCCACTCTAAATCTGTTGTTACATGCCCTGTTAAAAAATTATTGTAATGTCATAAAAATTGTAGACATAGTACCCTACGTTTCATATTCTCAAATGAAATTTTTGGTACACGTTATATATCTAGTATACAAGAGTATTAAGGTGATATGATAGGATCATTCTCTGTATATCGATGTGTTAAAACGTTTATAAATAATTTCCTCCAAAAGGAGTGCGACGAATAATTCGAAACTTAACATTTGATTATGGAGGCCATAATGAAAGCCATGGACTGGGAAAATGTCATTGCTCGAAAAAACATATTATTTTTTAGTTCTTGTTCGGGATAAATACATTTCTTTTTTTTCGAAGCATGACACTTTCTGACTTTCAAGATTTTCATAATGACGCGTTAAAGTTGAAAACTATTCGGTGCACCCATTCTGGAGAAGTTGGATAAACATTTTGATATGCATATCTCTCTGGTTCAATAAATTTCTTTTTCTCGGTGCAGCAAAAGGGTGCGGCAGGAAATATTTTCATAAATATTTTACGTAGTTCGAGCGAAGAGTTCCTTTTATTATCGAGTTCCTTTTATTAGTAGACATTAGGTTCTTTCCAAGATGGCCGCCACTCCTCATCGGGACATTTATATCTGTACCAACACGGAGCGTGGAAAATTCCGGTATTTTCATTTGCAGGTGTATATTTTTTTTCGCTCTCGGATCCTCGGATTTAATCCTTTCTCTCTTGCAGGAGATGCAGATGAAGTTATTAGCTTTTACGACCCGGTCCCTCGGCAGACTCGTTCCCCGATCTTCCGATCTTTCGATCTCCATTGCCCGTCCCTACGAGAGTCCCATTCAACCTGGACGCACACTTTCTCGACAATTTTGCATCTCACACTCTGGTAACACCTACACACCAGGAAACTCGTTGCAGTTCACTGCATGCAACCGTGGAGATATTCATAAACCCGAGGGAATACTTTCTTCTCTAACGGCGGCCATTTTTGCAGGACCGTGGAAGCTCTTAAGGTGAAGTGAAACACGTCGAGAAACTTGATCAACGTCGATAAAGAAGATTTTTCTAAATGCCTACGTTGCCGACGTTCGTTTTTATATCGACAGCTGGGTCGAATTATATTGGGTATTGTACCAAATGGCATATTCCACCTGTCGTTTCCGTACAATAATTATAAAGAAATCGAAGTAAAACTCCAGAAATCCTCTGGATTCATGCCTTCTGGGGCCCTAATTGACTGCGGAGGGACCCCTTGCGCCATCTGTGATTTCCAGGTCAATTAAATTTTCACTCCAACACCTCGTATTCCCATCGTTTTAGCAAAGAAGCGCATACAACACTTTTTTTGCCTTTATCCCATTCAAATGCGAGTTTATCGATTACCAGAGTGTTCTAAATTGTCGTAAAATTGTCCTGACCCTTTCGATTCTCATATCAGAGCCTTCGATAATTGTATATCGATCGACATATGAGAGCTCGACGCCATTTTGGTTCTGGTCTGGACTGAGTTAAAAAATTTTTTTGAAAAATCCAAATTTTCAATGTGTCAGGACAATTCTTAGATGATCAGGAGTGATGTGTCAAAGTTTCGAACAGTTTGGTCTAATACCCTTAAAAAAAAGTGTTGTATTCGAATCAACGGATTTGAAGGATGTTTCACTTCACCTTAATTCCCGACTTTTATTCGCCTCTTCGCCACGGATATCATAGCAAATCGGATTTTTCTGTTTGGACTCTTAATAATAATAAATAAACTGTTGTTCAACTAGTTCTCAATCTGCAAAAAGAACCCAAGTCAATTTTACAAGAAGGTCAACCTATTTTCTGAAATACAGCGCACTGTAACAGTTACAACTATGTTTCTTCACTTTTCGCAATTTAAATGAACAGTTGTGTTTTAACTATAGTTTGCAAGTAATAAATAACGAACATTTTGTCTACTTATAGAGTCAAATTTCGCTTCATTTAATGTTAACATTAGTGGATTTTACATGCCCAACGGTGTTTTTTTTTTCGTGATTTGGAATACATATTTGATAATTATACGAACTGAAGGGTTCCATATGTCATTTCAGTAAATTAATGACGAAGAGATCGACGTAAAACTGTCGAAATCCCGTGAATTCATTATTCTAACGTCTGTCTAGGACCAGCGTCGCCATCTGTGACATCTAGCTGCAACTAAATGTTTCCTCTAAAAACACGCGTTAGCCAGGAGACAAGCTCTTGCAATTTGTGAAAGTATTTTCCATATTTTCCCCTCCGATTCTGTAACATTCCATTTATACGGTATTCTAAACTGTTTCTAGGACCTGAAACTCTTCATTTTCGATTCTAAGCCTCCAAGGAGCGTAAAACAGCGAAAACGCGCCCGGACGGCGCCATGTTGGTTCTCGTTCACGATAAAAAAAATATTTTTTTTATGAAATCTGAAATTTCCTCAGTCTCAGGACCTACTTTAGGGCCTCCATATTCACGTGGTAGAATTTCAAACGAATCGGTACACCCAATTCGGAGAATAATTTCCCCAACGATTTGACTTCTCAGATATATATATGTTACCGTGAATGACCGAAATTGGAGAATGTCGACTTTCACCGGTGAATGTCAACAGATACCAAATACGTCGGAGAAAGATCGAATATTTCATTACATTGTTGTACATTCGGACCCTCTCCAGTGTATGTCGACAATCACACACCGGTGAATGTCAACATTTACCGGTGTAAGTCAGAAATAAGGGTATTTAGCAAATTTTTCGGACATACACTAAGCGACTATGTGAATGTTGACATTCACCGGTGAAAGTCGACATTCTCCAGATTTCGGTGTTTCGCTGTAACATATATATATATATATAGGCTGACTCTTTCATATCACCTAAACATTGTCAAATTCTTCAGTTTATCAGCTCTGTTCCTCTCGGTGCATTTTCGCCATCCATACAAGCATGATGTGGAGTGCGACGTGCGTCGGTGGTGAACACTCGACCTGGTATGAGCATGCGTACGTACACACGGATGTACGTACACTCATTTGCGGGGATTGCACCGGCTGGTCGAGATTGTTGGCAAAGTACGTGCCAGCTGGTGCACCGAACGACGACCGGAGCACGCATGCTAATTTCAAGGCTGCAGAGCTTCGAAGTTTATGAGGAGATCTCGCGGACGAAGAGGAGCTCGATCCGGAAGTCGGGAATGTGCCCCGGTACTTGGGGAACGGTTCTTGCAGGACATGGAACAGTTCCTGTGCCTGGGAATATTCGAAGATCAGATATGAAACGCGGGAAGATTTGAAAAAGGAAAATTAAATGAGCAGGACCCTCTCTTAGAGATTTCCTAAAAATTGTTATATGACAATTATATGTTTTAGGTCCGGAAGTCGGGAATGTGCCCTGGTACTTGGGGAACGGTTCTTGCAGGACATGGAACAGTTCCTGTGCCCGGGAATATTCGAAGATGAGATATGAAACGCGGGAAGATTTTTGAAAACGGAAAATTAAATGAGCAGGACACTCTCTTAGAGATTTCCTAAAAATTGTTATATGAGAATTATATGTTTTAGGTCCGGAAGTCGGGAATGTGCCCCGGTACTTGGGGAACGGTTCTTGCAGGACATGGAACAGTTCCTGTGCCCGGGAATATTCGAAGATCAGAGATAAAACGCGGGAAGATTTGAAAAAGGAAAATAAAATGAGTAGGACACTCTCTTAGAGATTTCCTAAAAATTGTTATATGACAATTATATGATGTTTTAGGATAATTTACGGTATTTTAGGATATTTTGATATGATTAGATTCGAAATATAATTACAATTTACGGTATGATAAATATGTTTGATATACAATTGTCACTATAGGCATGAGAATTATATGAGAAATTTTTGATAATTTCGGATATTTTTCCATGACAATCAGATTTTAGGTACGATAATTGTATGATTATTTAGGGTAATCTACGATCCTTTTTTTACTTACAGTTTGCGGGGCACATTTATTGTAGGACATGGAACCGTTCCTTGCATTCAGGGACATTCAAAGGAGTGTTTAACGCCAACCGGAGCGAAAGGAAGATATGAAATATCAAAATGGCGGAGCATTAATCTCAACTATCTAGTAATATGACATGAAGGAGTGAAAAGTAACATGCTAAACAGTTTCATTTATTAATAAGGATTAATTCCAAGTCATCGTAGGTTACTATCTTAAGGTGAAGTGAAACACGTTGAGGAACTTGATCGACGTCGATGAAAAAGATTTTTCTAAATGCCTACGTTGCCGACGTTCGTTTTTATATTGACAGCTGGGTCGAATTATATTGTGTATTGTACCAAATGGCATACTCCACCTGTCGTTTTCGTACAATAATTATAAAGAAATCGAAACAAAACTCCAGAAATCCCCTGGATTCATGCTTTCTGGGGCCCTAATTGACTGCAGAGGGACCCCCTGCGCCATCTGTGATTTCCAGGTCAATTACATTTTCACTCCGAGACCTCGTATTACCATCGTTTTAGCATAGAAGCGCATACAACACTTTGTTTTCCCTTATCCTGTTCAAATGCGAGTTTATCGATTACCAGAGTGTTCTAAATTGTCGTAAAATTGTCCTGACCCTTTCGATTCTCATATCAGAGCCTTCGATAATTATATACTGATCGAAATATGAGAGATCGACGCCATTTTGGTTCTGGTCTNTAATTGTCAACAATGTTTACTGATGAGAACGAGAAAGTTGTATTCGAATCGACTGATTTGAA